CAACTCTGCATGACAGACCATGTGCCTCCTTCTTCAGGCATGGGAGGCAAAGAGTTCAAATCATGCTGTAAGCCATACATTCTTTTAAGAGTCTCAGAGAATACAAACCTGCAATGAAATGATAAACGATTTAAGGCATTTTTATTGTAGAATTTCATGCTTTTGCCGCTGAAATAATTGCTCAACTTTACAGATCTTACTTGCAATTTCCAGCATTTATAGCATCACAAAATGACCAGAAGTCCCTCTGCATGCTGTTTCTTGGATCCATGTCCATCCGGACCCAAAAGTATAATGCATCACCATACTTCCGCTTCTCAATGGTGTCTAACAATGAAGTTTGAGCAACATCAGACAAGGATGCCTGTTATACCCCACAATTAGGTGAGTAAAGAGGACAGATAAAAGAACAAGATATATTTCCTTCAAGGTGTTGCTAAGCCAAATGGCATAATTCTCACCAATTAATCCAAAAGCGAAAAAAATGCATACAGAGACAAAATAATGAGGCGAGGGGTTGGACACTTTCCATTACCTTCCGAGCTGTTGCTCTCCATGACTGAAACCCTATCCAGGCATTCCTGTGTAGACGGTCAATCCGGTTAGCAATAGCAAAGAAGGCCCCATATTCACCAAGAGTGTCTCGGTAGTATGGGTTGTTAAGAAGTTGCAGCCGAGACGGTCCATCAACATCATCCATCCCTGGTCTTCGACCTTTGGTAGACTACAACATCCATTGACATATTTTTCAAGTGCCACTCAAAATTATAACAGTACATTCATGCTTTCTTTTTACAACTTCAATAAATTGTTTAGAAATAAGTTTTAAAGAAATTCTTGATTTCATTTTAAGCAAATCAATAAGTGGAACAAAAGAAAAATGCAAACTCATATAATTCTTTCACAAACTTACCAATCCAAATCCTCGATAAAGAGAATTTTGGTGCAGGAAAGGCCATGTTCCTTCACCAAAATAAGGTTCATATATACAAAATGGTTGACCAATCCTTTCAAGCTCCCTTTCATCCCTTTCATGCAAGTCGTTCCTCATACGGTCAGCCCTCTTGGCATTTCGATATACATCCTCCCAGGTGCCACGAGGTTGATCAGTTCTATCTTTTAACTACAAGACATTTGAAAAAGCATGAATCTTCATTAAGGAACAACATAAACAAAGACGGCTGATATTGTTCAACTAAACTTTTGGGTAACATAATTTCGCAGAACAATTCTTACCTCTTGCTCCTCTCGTCTCCTTTGGTATTGAGACTATGAATCTTTTTTTCTTCCTCCCAAATCTCATATGAAAATGAATCATCCATAGCAATTAATGAACCAAGTTTCTCCCTTCGAGAATGGTTCCATTGTTCCTCTAAGGTGTTTAAAAATTTTGAACTCCTGTCTTCGAAAGTAGAATTTAGAAAATCCTGAAACAGGTTCCACTGCCATTTTTCTTTCAACTTTGAAGGAAGTTCTGCAACAACCTTAGGAGGCGCAACTTCTGATGGAAGCTTGAGAACATTTTCCAGGAGAAAGGCATATCCTTCAACAGTTTCCGGAACCATCAAGTTTTTAACAGTTCCTCTGCCAATTGAAGCAATATTGCGCGCCAATGGCGACAATTTTCCATTTGGTATCACTTCCAAAATGATTTGAGTCAAAACTCTAATATTCTCCTTAGGGAAAATATAACCGTTTACCCTGTCATCAACCTAATTGTACTGCCAAGTCAGTAGTTTGTTTGCCTAATGATCCCAAATATCCATGAAGAGAAAAGAGCGGCAGAGGCTTACATATTTCCTGATATTGGAGAGTTCTGGTGCTATGATTGGTTTACCAAGGGACATGGCTTTCATCAAAATTTCTGGGAATGAGGGCTCCTCAAGAAATGAGCCATATATCACAAGGTCAGTCATGCTGAGAACTTTGTCAACATCTTCCTCGATGACCATATGCTTCACCACACCACTAGGATAACTCAAATTAAGAGCAATTCTCTAGGGGAAAATGGAATATACGTGAAATAGAGAAAATAAGTGAGAAGCTTGAAAACTACGTCCACATATGAGCTCAACCACAACATTTGATAAACTATAAAGTGTTTATGGTCATACCTCAACAGCCATGCTGTAGTTGCCTGTTGAATCACTGCTTAAAATGATGATTTTCATATGTGAATTTGAATTCTTGTCGGATGAAAAGTCAGCAAAGAGGGGAAGCAGAGCTTGCAAAATAAGGGCATGCTCCAACCACAAGCCTCTGTACATAAATTGACTTCCAACAACCGCAAAGAGTAGTTCTTCAGGTCCATAGCCCATCTTCTTACGTTGGTTATCTTTGTACAAATTCATTAAATTGTCTCCGTTCAATACTGCAGCAGGGGAACCAGGAATGACATAATAGTTTCCAGAATCGAATGTAGAATACAACATCTGCGGAAGTTAGAGTAAGAAATCAAATCACTAGAAGCAAATCACAAGTTCTAAAGCACTCTTAGAAGCACAAGCATTATGGGAAACTGAAACCACATGAACTAAGAATTGAAGTAAAAACTGGCTCAATATAAATCAGTTACTCTGATATTTCCTAATAAAATAGGAGCATTATCACTTTAGTTGAATGGATTTGTCCCATTGTTCAGACCTTCCTAATGGGACTTGATAGCACCTATATACTTCCACAACTTTTAGTTAATAGTATGTTAACAATGAATAAATGATTTTCTGATATATTACCGGAAGTGCATGGTTTGGGAAGACAACGACAGTAGCCCGACTGAAAACCTTTTTCCAGTCATTCACAAGCTCAATCTGCCCACTTGAAGTGTATTCTCTAGAACGTACAGCGAGTGCTCTTTCGGGGATTGTCCATATAAGTGGAATAGATTTGAAAGGTTCCTGCATAAAACTATAACAAGTAAACTCATTCATGTTAATAGAGTCAGACAAGTAACACTTCCGGTGAAATTTTTAAACATACATCGTAAAAGATCAAATACAAAACAAATTAATGTATCGAGCATGTATGCTAAAGTAATCTTAAAGAATATCATACCTAGAAAAGACACTCTTGGCCTCAAGAGAGCTAACAAGTATGCCATCATAGCTGCAAAACAATATATCATAATTATACACCCAAAAGAACAAAATTCTATACAGGAGAAACTCAATCATTTTAAGGAAGAAAAGGAAGTCTTATTCTGAATGAAAGCAAAAAGCCTCCACAATCACTTGATCAAATTTCTCAATATAAGAACTAATGTACATAACTGATACATATATGAATAGTTCAGTGGATATATAAGATGAAGACCCTCAATTAAACATTGTCAAATAAAGTATCAATCCTAAAGTGGAATTTTTGGAGATTACAAGCAAAGACACATACTTGAGCCAATCAACAGCAGTCCCGTTTGGTCCGACTTCAAGAACGGTGACTGGAACTCTGATGCTTTGCCAAACATTGCGCACAGGACCATCTTCAAGGGAGTAGACCTTCCATGAAAGTAATTAAAACAGATGAAGCTAAGATGAACCGTTAACTTCAACTTCTACGAGTTTGTTAGTCATATTCAATGCTATCACCACAAACATTCCCAGAAATATAAGCACTATATTTTCAGCTGAAAAGATGGCTAGAGTATACTTGAATGAGCAGCAAAATTCCAAATATATATATATCAACTCACAAATGATTAAGTGTCCAGAAGTCAATGTCATTTACCTGAAGTTCATAACCAATCTCTCTCAATGCAGCTGCGATGGTCACCATTAGCAATTGTTGTGGGTCAACCAATAGATCGGGAAAGACCTTCAAGTACAAAATTCGAGGTGTAAAAAAGAAGTCTTGATAACAGCAGACAGCAAAAGATCCAACAACAAAAACTTATTGAATAAAATAAAATGAAAAAGATAATTTTCACTAACCAGTGCCAGCTGAGGTTTTCTGTATTGGAAACGGTGTTGACTCCGGTTGAAAGCAGATGAAGATTCCAAATTGACTAGCTTATTTTCTCTCTGAAATTTCTCTAAAAGCTTGCTGGGTTCCAATCTGATATCTTCACCAAAATCAAGCCCACCCATATCCTTCAAATACCTCAATTCTCCAAATACCGAATCTTTATCATCCAAGAAGGAATCTTGAGATTTGTCCATCACTGAACCAGGCAAAAACATTTGAAAGAAGACCACGAAGAAGAGGAAAACAGCAACGGTGCAAACCCATTGGAGATAATCTAGCTTCTTGAAAAGCAAAAACCGAGAAAGTCTCGATCTGGGTCGGGTGGGGAATGGGTTTCTTTCGTTCCTACTAGCGGCTCTCTTCAACGAGTTCCCGTTTTCCAAGGAACCCATTTACATTCTCATTAAAAAAAACCTTAGCTCTTGAAACCCAAGAAGAAAGCTCAATCTAAATAGGAAAAAAGAGGAAACAAAGCAAAAGACTCAAGTGGCGTTTAAAAGTTTATTTAATACAGAAAGATGAAGCTTGTGACTAAAAAAGGGCTATAGCATTCAGATGGATTCCAATGGTCATTGAATTGCCAAAGATGAATAGAGAGTGACAGAAGGGCAGCAAGGGGTTGAATCTATATTACTATTCCCCCTTATATCAACGTGCACTGTCTTTAATTGTTTTCTTGCCTGCCTTAAATAATTAAGATTTTCCTTTCACGTATTTTCTTTAAAAATAAATATATTTTGGGTTTAATTATCACCGGCTGTTAAATATTTAGTTCTCCATCTCTCCAATAAATATAAAGATTGTTCTTTGAGGTGTGATTTGTTATTAATAAAACAAAATTCATTTAGTAACTACTCTAAAATAAATTGATTATCGACTTAAACAATACATCTATTTTAAGAAACATTCAGTTGCTGTTGGCCGACACTTTTTTCAACCAAGATTGTTATTTTTTTTATTCAATTAACAAGGCTAATTACCTTTCAACCAAACGCAAATAAAATTATTGCATCTCTGGGATAGATCCATTCAAAACCATACAGCGAACAGATTGCATTTGCATTATGTCAAGGAAAACAAATGCGGAAGAAATTGATTGATTTCATCAGGTCTGGAAACGAAGTTATAATTGAACAACACAATATTTGGAATTTGCCCTTGATTGAACCCTATTTAAATGAAAGAATTTTGCTGAAGAAAATGAGCATTTCTCAGCTGCTAAGGGTCCATGTTATCTGCACTCTCAGCTCCTAATGATCAATGTTTATCCGAGAGGTTCCAAGCAGATGCTTTTGAGAAGAAGATGACCCAACTGGATGATCCACCTTTTAGGGTGGTTGTTGAGGCTGTAATTGATTGTGCAGAAAGCAATCCCTAGGTATTTCGGTTTTTTCATAATCTGCCCAGAGGGGACTCGAGGACATGATCATCAACCAACCACAGGCCATAGTCTCGGAAGCGCTTGATCTTCTTCTCAAAGCCGAGGATGTAATTATTATGAATTATGACATGCATCCCCTTGGTTTGCTGCACCCATGTCTTGTTCTTGAAATACAATCCTCCGGTTGGAAATGCTGCCTGAGGAAGCAGGTAGAGATCCACCTGCAGAACATATTGTCCATGTATGATTATCAGAAAACTAAATCTTACTACCAGACATAGATCACACACCATCGATTACAAATATCAAAGAGAGAAGGCTCATAAAACCACAAATCTCACACAGCAGAGTGTTTACATACCCAAACCAAAAGCAACAGTTTGCCATGGACCAGAAATGTAAGGACACAGGCAAAATGCACTTCTAAAGAATATCAGATTGGATTAAACATAGATGTTCCTTTGGCATTATGATAAGCCAATCTTCCATGTTACAGATTTCCAAAAGATGCAACTACACGTGACTGAGAATAATGAATACACTAAGTGCAGCACTGGTGAAAGGTCATACATCAATTAGCAATGTTTTTCAAATTATGGCAAGATGAACAAGCACGCGATATTGTCTGAACTCCAAATGAGAACTATTAGGTACATATATGCTACAAACTCAAAATTGAAATGCAAGAAGATGCATAAGCATACCACTCCGGCAGTTTTTAGTAGAGCCCAGTTAAAAGCAGGCTGATCATTTGCTTTCTGTGCTTTGGACCATGGCTGAGCTTGAAGTTCTTCAATCCATTTCTTCATTACTAGTTTTGCTCCATCTGTAGCACGCAGAAAAATCATACAACTACAAATATAAGGGCGACCCTTTTTCCCTGGAGGTGGCAAATCATGGGAATGGTTCAGTGGCTTCACCTGATCAACCAAAGAGAAGCATTAAGCAACTTTATGAGAAAGAAGCAGAGTTAGCAAAATATTTCCAGTGCATAGCAGCCTAGTCCTAGAGAAACAAGGTATGGTCTTGTTTCCATTCTCTCCATTCTTTTTACTACTATTTCCAAATTCTCAGAAAAGGAAAAACAAAATAAATAAGGGTACCCTCCCATTGCATACAATCCGATTTAACTATTATTCATGGCTTAACAATCATGTTGACAGTAGAATTGTTTAAGATAAGCCAAAGTTTATTGATTTTTTATAATCTAGTAGAATGGAGTAATCTTAATGAATATTTTGGCTAATCCTGACTTGAATAACACATCAAAACACTGTTTTGTTCTACACTTCTAAGAATGGAACTAAGCAATTTTAAAGCAAAACAGGCTATACATACTGCAGCCATGTCGTCAGTGAAGTAAACATCGTGATTTCCTTCGAAATAAGGGAAGGGATCTCCCAACCACACCATATCAACATCATTATACATAACATTGTAGCCGAGCTCCAAAATTTGCAACAAATGTCGAGGCCTCCTGGCAGTAAAATTGAAGAAACCCTAAATCAAGCACCCAATAAGCATCAATTGAAAATGCTAAGTGAAAAACAAAAGAGATAACTTTCAATAAACAAAACCCAAAGCAGGAATCGAACCTGAGAGCCAAATTTGTGGGCAGTTTGTGAATCAAGAGCTGGCGGGATTAAAACGGCATGGCCAGGCCATTTTTCATTAACCTTGTCAAGAGTAGCATAATCCTCAGCTATCACAAGGACTTTCTCTTGGTGCTTTTGTCTGGTGATACTGATCAGCCAATTGCTGAGAAAAGGCAAGTAAGGTTGACTGACGGCACATACAATTATGGTACCATTTTTGGCGACGAAGGAAGCGGCTTCGGCCAAAGAGTAGTCTCGCCATTTGGAAATAGAAGAAGATGCCCTTTTTGAGTTAGAGAACATGGATTGGGGCATGCCTGACCAGGGCGCGAACACTCCGAGGATTACCATGAGCGAGAGGAGAATAGTTAGGCCTGTTGGACTGAAGATCGAAATGGGTCTTTGCAAGCTTGATGAAGAACGTGGGGAGATTGGGTAGGCGTTTGAGAATGGGTTCTGGATGGGTCGTTGGTGCAAGAATGATGACATTGTTGCCGGTAACACTAAGTTCATAAATTAACGAGCTTGTTTTATGGAGTTTTAAACTAACAGAACGACTTCAACCGGAGGGGGAGGGGAGAATTTGGGTTTAAGGAAACGTGTTTTGAGATCGGATCTGTGAACGATGATCGTTGATGACAATAGCTTTAGAGTAGAAGAATACTGAAAGGGATGATATGATCGTGGGTCGGGTTGTGTTAACAATTTAGATTTGATGGGTTAAATAAAACGAATCATGTCAATAAAATTTCACTTACTAATAAATTTAATTATTAATATTCATAATTTTTATCTTAATATTATTTTTTAACTGAATTTATCATTCATTTTTATTTTTTAATTACATTATATTTAACAAAAATATTGGTTAGAATATCAAATTTCCACTGCATTGAGACGCTTATATCATTTCACATTATTTTATAATAAATTGATATTTTAAATTATTCACTAATATGATATAAAAATAAAAAATAATACTAAATAAATTATAAAATATATTTATTATTAATATTTAGACTAAAATAATACTACGTCAATCATAATTAGTAATTTAATCAATATTTTTATAAATTTAATTAAAACGCAAAATTCTTTTTCATAAACTTATTAAGTGATATCATTAATAAAAAATATATATATAAAATATCTAAATTTAATTTATTGTGTTGACATAATATATATACAGTATTAAAAAAAAAAAATATTAAATTTATACTACATTATAATCACCTAATCAAAAGATAGATAAATAATAAAAAATTAAATTAAAACGTTTTAAAACTTTAAGTATTAGATTAAAATCTGGACAATATATTTGAAAATTTTCTCTCCGGTACACAAACATTCAAAGGTGAAAGATCAAACACCGACAAATTTTCTTAAATAGTACATCGAAAAAAGATTATTTTTTATAAGGGTTGCGATTGTTTTATTTATTTTTCAAAAAATACATTTTATATTAAGTGAAAGATATAAGAAAGACACAATATCTTCTCATATATTTATTTAGAAAAAACATCAAATCTTTCATACATCTTCATCTTTACGAAGATGCCGTATGATCTAAATGTCTTTTTTATTTAATTGTAGATACAACTCTATTTGAAAAAAGAAAATTCGATTTATAATTTTCCTTTCACCTTACTTGAGTAATTTTGTAATTTTGCCGACAAACACCAATATATCACGAAGTATCAAACGAGATGAAAAATAAAGATGAAATTATAGGATTATTGATCAAGGCTGGACCAATTATTGATGAGAGTGGGTAAGGTTACTCATCTTCGTTATCAGATATTTTATACAAATTAATCATTATTTAAAAAAAACATATAAGAGAAATGAGGGAGAAAAAAAGTTGCATTTGGGACAATTGATAAAGGAACCAACTGGAAAACGTGAGAAGGGTAGTTACAGGCAACTCCATCCTCATAAAGGAAAGATTTTACACAAGTGTGTCATCATCTTCATTGGCTCGATTTAATGGAGATTCATGCAACATATCCAGCCTTTAGCTTCATTGCTTTTTGTTTGACAAAGAAAGCTGACAGCACACTTTTGGTCCTAACAGGTGCACGTACAATCTGCCGATTTGGGTTATCGAATGACCTGAATGCTGTCAATGGTTTGAAACCCTCTAGTTTCTGCCAAAAATAGCAGAGATTGTATATTAAACATGCCAAGCAACAAAGTATATAGGAATACCCCCCCCCCCCAGAGAAATTTGGATTACCCATTCGGAACCAAAAGTTGGCTCTAGTGAATCGTTTTGAATGGATATCAAGATTTCAAATTCTAAAGTTTAACAAATACGATTAAAATCACAATTGTAAAATGAAACGAAAAGCCTCACTAACCAAATATCAATTGATATACCAAAAGGTATCGAGATAACAGATCGAGACAATGAATCAACCCTAGTGCTAACATAGAAGCATCCATAAAAAGGACATCAAGCATGTATGTAGTCTTGGTGATTTAAATAATACCCTTTGTATGATACCCAATGATGGCACCTGTGCATTAGAAGCAGGAAAAGGTGCTGCTGCCGACTTTGTCCTTGCATTTTCTGCCAGAATTGTAGTCAAAATACAAGTCTTAGCATCAAAAGCTTCTTTTTCTTTTTCACTTTTTTCTTCTTCCTTTTATCATCAAATGACTTATATTAACAATACTAAATGAGCTACTAGTCTAATATACATACCCACTAATTGGAAAACCTCAGAAGCAACACCAGAAGGTTTTGAAATTTCATTGCTGCATGGTAAGCAATGTTTATAACTTCTTGCTCTCAGCTGAGCGTTAGAAGAACACTGGAAGGAAAATATCCATTCAACGTTGAATTTTTAAATCAACTAACCTTGCTAAAGGTTGCGTAGTCCCTTTCAAAGTAGTTTCTGAGGATAAGTGCCACGAAAGAGTTTTTGATGCAGGAGTATCTATAGTTAAAGACATTTAATCAATGCCACGATACTCGCCTTCTCCTATAAGAAAGTATATTGCAAAAATGAAGAAAACACTAAAATTAGATGAGCTCCTGCCTGCTAAGAAACACTATACCTGAAGGTTGAAGACGAGATTTAGCCTGAAAATAGTTTGCCTAGCATCTGTCGGTAACTGAGGACTAAAATGTACCTTCTTGCTGACAGAATCTGGCTTAGAGAAAAATGCAATGGAAAGAAGCAAAAAACAGGACAAAAAGGAAAGGGAAATGAGAAAAACAAAAACAACTTCACCCACTAATTAGCTTCCAGGAAGGGGGGACTTTCTATCAACTACTCTTACTTGGTAAAACGTAATGCTTGTGATGTCTTGGGATTAATGCCAACAGATGCTGCTGCCTGAGACCTTCTTTATTCGTGTATGTTTGGCATGTAAGAAGTTTCTAATATTAACAAACTAAAATTAGTTAAGGGCCTCAATTCAATATGTTTCTTGTGCTAGCATATTAAGCAAGAGAAGTACAAAGAGATTACTTGATTTAACAAGATGCTTTTAGCTCGATGGTTGACACTTCCAATGTTTGCTGGTCAAGAAGATCAGTCAACTTGTAAGCCACAGTGCCAAGGTGATCAACAGCATTAACAAGAGCACGTACAGCATAATCTTTCAGGTTGTCCTGTACCCTAACAAATGTATCACACAGAGAAAAGTAGCATCATGAGAAGAGAAAATGGAAGTAAACCAAACACAATCAAATGCAAAGCATGCCAGCTTGATTAAAAAAACCATCACAGAGGCATTATGAGCAAACCGATCATGTTCTGAAGTCAATCATGGTATTGCTTGCATGAAAATGAAAAGGCTGTTACACAAAAATGAACTAAGAAGGTTTAAAAGTAAAATAGGTAGCCTCACATCTGCTTCTGCTCATTATGGAGATAAGACTTTTCGCAATATTCTGCAGCTGAATAAAGTTGAGGCCTTAAGTTCTTGAGCTCCTATAGAACACAAGGGTCAAACTTATCAATTAGTATAACAACGAAATGCTGGAAAGTTTTAAAATGCATGAGCTAAAATATTCATTAAATCAAACAAGGACAACAAGTTAACAAAACCATATAGAAGTCACGGCTCTTGCAGATATTATCTTCAGATGCACGGATTTTTCAATATTCTCCGAATATGACATTCTTACATTGTTGCACATAATGGACTTGAAACTTGAAAGAGGTTTCCCATTGCCTCATTCAATTCAATTCACTTTCTACTTGACTGATACGATGGCTCTAAAGTCTAAACTCATGAATGGAAATCAAGCAAGCACTGTTCTTCGATAAACACAATAAGAGGCCGATATCTAACTTACCATAGGTTCATCCATTGCTATGACTGTACTTCTAGCTTTGGAAGATATCTAACTTTTAACTCAGTCATAAATGCTACGTTCCACCGATACTAAACCTTGAAGTCTTGTTATTAAGACGCCAATATATATATATATATATAGCAAAAAACACAATTTTTCGTAGGAACAAGGGAATTTCTTTATTCATGTCATTTTCTCTCCGTCACATCTCCCATCAGCAATCAAGCAGTGACTTCTAAAGTCAACCAAAAAAAACAAACAAAACAAAATCTTAACAAAAATCAAATCAAATTGAAAAAGATATCCATCTGGTCCAAAAAGACAGGAACTAATAATGAAGAAATGAACCTGCAAAGCTTTAACGAAGCTCTTGCTACGCTCCATGGAGACCTCGTCGGAGGTCATGGCGAGATTATCAGGCCTGTGTAACTCCCCCTCATTAAGTCACCTCTTATTAGATTTCGATGATCAAAATCCCAACACCTAAACCTCAAAAAAGAACCTTAGGGAAGAATTCGAAAATTGAAGGATCCAAGCACCAAAAAAGAAGTGAAGTTGCTGTTAATAAATGAATGAAACTAGTAAGGATTTTTGGGCTAAACAAACTTGAAAGAGAGTAAAAAATAATTTAACAAAAGAAAAGGAGTTGGTCTAAGAAAATTTGGAATTGAGAGCAGGGAAAATGACTTTCCACCGTTTTCGCGCGAGAGTGTTACTGTTGTATCTAATTCCAAAGAGGTAGCGTTTAATGCGGTGGTTGTCGAGTGTCGACTCACCTCACTCGATCCGTTTCGGTGATTTCATTTCATTATTTTAATTTTTGGGTAAATTATTTCCTCACAAAACTTTACTCATTCTTATTTTATTCACTAAATTTTAATATATTTTAACTTAATCACTTAATTTTAAATTTCTCATGTTTTAATAACTCTACCACTAAGTAATTAACATCACTATAACATGACACGTGACATCAAAATGACATCACTTTGAAAAAGTTAAATTTATATTAAAGCGATTAAATTTTGAACCCACATAAAATCATATTTTTCTCTTTTTTCCCTATCATTACTCCATTATTAACTTTATCAAAATATTATTATTTTTTATCATCGTCACTATCAATTGTAAAGGGTGCCGTCAAGATTTAACCTAAAAGGAATTGATTTTTGTTGTCAAAAGTTTTAGGTATCATAGAAGTCATTCTATTATTTTTAATTATTAATTTACCCAAAAAATATTAATTTTTGTAGTGAAATGATTTGTAGGGTTCTTTCTTTCTCTGTTGTTTACTTCCATTATAATTCAATTGTGTGTAGTACAGTTATTTGCATCAAATATAAATTTTCATTCATTTTTTATGTTAAATAAAATTAAAACTTTTAAAAATATCCATGAACTTGAAAACTCTTTTATAATTCCTTGTCATTAATTTTACAAATTGAAAAAAGCAATTGCAACACCATACTTTTAGTTTTTATCATTATGGTCGTTTAGTTATAGATACTTGTATTTGTATTTTAGTTTTGGATTTATGTGTAACGTGACTCTAAGGTTTCTTTTAGGATTTGGATTTCACTTTTCTATAAGATGAAATGGGTTGTAGGAAACAAAGGTAAGTTGTCGATAGACAGAAATATTTTAGGATTCGAATTCACTAAGCAAAATAGGTTTTTTTTAGTTCTATAGCGACGTTTTTAAGCGCCGCTAAAAACTTTTCTAGAGCCAATAAAGTGCCATAAAAAAGCGCCGCTAAAACCAACCTCGCAAGAGGTCAATCTACATCTTACGGCTACACCTGTCATTTGGTGTGATAATACCAGTGCAATTTCACATTCTGCTAACCATGCATCATGCTAAACTTAAACATATAGAGCTGGATTTATGTTTCGTAAGGATAAAATCGTGGATGGATCGTTCATATCAACTATGTGCTTGCAGTTGATCAGATAGCTGATGTCCTAACTAAGCCTTTGTCAGCACCGTTTTTTTGTTCGGCTCAGGAGCAGCTTAGAGTTCTTTGAGCAGAAGAGTCGAGGTTGCAAAGTGTTAACAATGTTTTCTTACATCAGCCTACAGGAAAGCTTTAAAGACATTTAGAGAACGAGAAACATAGAAAGTATGTTAGAGTTATAAGCTGTGATGGTATGTTAGTCCAAAGTTAGTTGTTAGTTTGTGTTAGGTTCTGTTATGCGTTATGAGAGCTGTTGTGATATTGAAGTTTGTATAGACACATAGTTTTTTTGATAATGATAAGTTGATTCCGAGGTTGATTTTCTTGAAATACTTCTTAATCTTTCACACATCCCATGCCATTGAGTTCATAAATTTATACAGTCTTTAAAAACACCATTCGACATTAACGCACATACTTCTAATATATAGTTCGAACTCAAATCTCAAGAAAAATAACAATTTCTTAATTAATTCGTTTGGTTTATGGAAAAACACCAACTTTAAGATGCTTTGTCTAACAAATATATAGATTATGATAATTTTAAGAACGGTAAAGCACATCAATAGTCTTTAAGTTACAATTATTATCACTTACATTTATACTTTGGATTAATTTGATTGGATTTCTGTAATTGATGCTATTATCACTTATATTGTTAAATAAATTAAAGATATTTTAAAAATATTTATAATTTCAAAAAATAAATTATAATTTTTTATATATTTTTAAAAAGTTTATGATAAATTTTAATTATTATTTAAAATGTTAGAAAACATTAAAAATAGTTTGAATTGAGAGTTTTGAATGAGATATTAACTATTAAATTAACATCATGTAGTCCTCTCAACAGCATGTAACGATGGGATGATAATACAACTTTTCGATATCTTTATTGATTAATGTGTAACTTTTAAAAGTTAGTCAGCCAAGTCCATAAGAAAACCATAGTTTAAGTACTATTATTGTACTTTACCCTAATAAAAAAACCGACCCAACTATGCTTACGGATTCCAACTGTGGCTAAACTAAACCAAACCGGACACGATATTGTCCTAAAATGAAAGTAGTTGGTTGGAACCCACTTTGAATAACCCATAACCGATTCGGACCCGAAATGCAGTTTGCCTTCTGCTCTCCACCGGCCATTTTGCAACAAATTAAATCGTATATATAATGCAAATTCCAACCCCCAAAAATAAGTGGGCAAAGCCTTGGGGTTTCTTTAAATTCAAGGAATTCAATGTTCTTGCAATTCTTTTAGACCTTCACTGAAAGAAAGAGAAAAATAACAAGAGAAGAAGGTAGAATCAAATTCATTTATCCCACCAAAATGGTTTTTTTATTCATTTATCATCAAATCATTTTGTTGATAACTTTTTGCAGAGAGAGAAATAGATGGCAGAGTCAAGTAAGGATATTTCGGCTTTGGATTTAACAGATTCGCAAAGATATTGGGTTCATTATTCCAGACAGCAGTGTCTTAATCTCCCTCCAGGATCAATTACTGCCTTTGAATGGAAAGACTATTGTCCTAGAGTTTTCAGGTTGTCTTTTTTATTTCCGATCAATGTTTTAATCTTTGGATTATATGTTGTTTCATCGCTAAACTGTTTGTTGAAATTCCTCTGCCAGGCTTATACAAGAGCTCGAAAATATCAACAATGAGTGTTACATGATATCGATTTGCAGCGACGAAACTTTAAGGAAAGTCACTTCAAGTTCGAAACCTGGCAACTTCTTCATTTTGTCCACGGACAACCGATTTGTAGTAAAAACACTACGCAAATCTGAAGTCAGGGTAATGAAAACAGCCTTTGAAATCATCTACTAATGGAATATTTTCTGGTAGATATAATGTAAAATCATATACATTGCTTTTTTCGCATTTGTGGTGTAAAGCCCTGAGATAATCATCTTCTCAAATTAAAACCTTTAAGAGATTGGATTCTAGTAAAGCCCTGAGATGAACGTATTTCTAGACATCTTTGAGGTTCTGAATCAGAAAAGAACGTCTAAATATGGTTAATGCATTTGATGTAGGTCCTCCTAGAAATGCTCCCAGCCTATTATAATCATATCAGAAAGTTTCGCAGCACGGTCTTGAGCAAGCTTTATGGAGTTCATGTCGTGAAGCCGGACGGAGGTGCTAAGGTAGAAGTAACATTATTTTATCTCATAGTAAAGTTTCTCATACTGGCATTTTTCTTTTCAATGGAATCCATAGTTTTAAACTGTACAACAAAGAGCTTTGTCACGTAAATTAAGTACCAAGATATTGATGATTGCGAGGGCTGCAAATTAAAAATGCAGGTCATCTGGAGGTACACGATGCATGTCTCCCTCCATGAAGGGATTCTAAATTAAGGGTCTTAGATAAATTTACATTAACATAACTTCGAGCTTTCCCTTCCTTTTGGCCGTTAATAATATGCACTGATATTTTTCGGAATTGGGGGAACAGGTTTACTTTTTGGTTGGGTCAAACATATTCAAATCCGACTTGTTGATGCACCGGTGTTATGACCTCAAAGGTTCCCTACAAGGTCGAAGAGTCGAAAAAGTGAGATTCCGTGAGAAAGTTCTTCATAAAGAATCGGATCTTGATTTTCACTTTTGCCTTGAACCACTGATTCGACATAGGCTTATGAAGTAAGTCCATCAATCTATGTCTTCTCTCTTAGCATAGTTTTCTTTTTGATAAATGGTAAGGTGATTTTTATGCAATTGCCTATTGTATACAATTCTAACAGTAACCCCCTCCCTTTTTCCCTTCTCCGCCCCTTCAGTGTGTGCAAGCGAGTGTGTTACCTAACGTGCATAATCCTTGGTTGATTAACAATAGAATTTTTATTTGACAGGCAAATCAAGCATGATTGTGCTTTTCTCGAGGCTGCGGGCGTCATGGATTACAGTATGTTACTTGGCTTCCATGTAAAAGGTTCACCTAAAGGTGAATTTGTTTCCCATAAATTCCCACTTTTTCGTGAAAAAATTATCTTCGATATCAGATTCTTGAAAAACTATCTTGTTATAAGAGGCAGAGTAAGATTTCTGATAAGCTTTTAGTCTCTCACAGATCTCTCGGAAGCTGGACGTTCACTTTCTACAGACTCTGAACGTGGAGGTAATTACTTGCATCAAAAGGATCTTGATTCTCATCATTTTATTACATGTTATTCTTGTGAGGAGGCTCGGAGCTGCCCCAGTTCTTGGCAAATGTAAAGCACAGAGAAAAAAGATCGTGCTACGGAAATACAACAATATTGCATTATTTAAAAATACCAAATGACTAATTCTTCCAGAAAAGTGCATATCTTATGAAATTTTACGTTCACTTCATTGTCTTTCTGCAGGTTCTGTTGACACTAATCCCAGCGATGGAAGGAGATTGTCCTGTGACTCGTTGTATCATAGTGATTTATCCTCACAGAGATATTCCACAGCTTCAATTCGAGGTGATATATTGAAAATGCATCTTATTCATCATGATTCTTTGTTGTTGAAAGGCAAAGTAAAAAGGAAAATGTAAAAGACCAAGAACTTGAAAAATTCATGGAAGGAGATTGTCCTGTGACTCGTTGTATCATAGTGATTTATCCTCACAGAGATATTCCACAGCTTCAATTCGAGGTGATATATTGAAAATGCATCTTATTCATCATGATTCTTTGTTGTTGAAAGGCAAAGTAAAAGGAAAATGTAAAAGACCAAGAACTTGAAAAATTCAGAATTTGTAAGAAGCTTAACTGTTCTAAACTCTAATGATGTCATATCCATTGAACTAAAATCTATTTTGCCAATCATCCTTTCCCGCATGTTCCTCTAGCTATGAGGAGCTTGCTACGGTGTTAGCGTTAAGCTTTATAATGCATGATCTGGTTTTCCACCTTGCAGATTCAGTTGATTTCAATGATAAAAAACAAAAAGATTCAATTGATTTCGAGTCAGAATTGAGTTTTGGTGATCAGTGGCTACCAGGTAACAGGTAAATATTTGCTTTTTTAACCTAAAATAAGTCTCATTTGATATGGGGTTCGAAGATGATGCAGTGAGGAATCAATTGTTTTGCGTTGGCTTTCTCGCAGTCAAACTACTAGGTTCGGTGAAGAATTGTCTGCGCGTGGTGTTCACATACCAAAGAATGGAATCGGAACTCTAACATCACATGAAAATCTCAAGTCTGGGGAGTGCTATGAAGTTCTTTTGTATTTTGGAATAGTGGATTTTTTCCAAAACTACAGTGTGATCAAACGACTCGAGCATGCGTACAAGTCATTGCATTTTGATCGAAAGATGATTACAGCCGTAAACCCCAAAGCATATTCTTCTAGATTCCAGGATTTCATCGGTGACATATTTAAAGCTGACGAATCACTCAATCTTCCCACTGATCTCACTAGCGGTAAGTTCTTCCTACAAGTTTGTACACATTGGAAACATTGTTTACTTGAGTTCAATTTAATTTCCTCAATGAATAGGGTTTTCAAGCAACGATTTAAGAATCAAGATGCTACCTCTGACATTAGAATCTGATATCAGGAGACTTAGAGAATCTGCTATGTTCACATATAGATTTAATCCCATACTAACTAGATGTGTTTTCTGCGAGACAAAATCACGAGACTTTCGGACTAAAGCGTCATAGAAGAAAGCTTGAAGAGCTCCTCTAATGGTTCATAGTCATATTAAAGCATCAATGTTTTTGGGTGCAAATTAAAGCTTGCTTGATATGTACAAAACTTAACTGAATCTAAGTTTTTGGTGGTTTTTTTCAGGATGCAGAGAAAAGATGCTGCAAATGCAATGAAGGGAGTAGGTTTTGGGCATGTGAAGGACTCCAGAAATCATGGAAAGATGTAACATTGTACATTAATCTTCTGTAAGAATCCCTTAATTACTTGAAATTAGAAAGGGAAAAGAAAATTCCAAATTGGATCCTAGAATTTTGTTGCTAATGATAAAATTCCAAATGTGCAACGTATACCATTCTGAACATCCCTGTAATATTTCTGGTGTAAAATTAATAGCAAGGTGTTGTAAATGTTAAGATTCAAATTTTATATTTGCTGCATCAACTAATGAAATTAAGTCTCGGGTTGAGTTTGACATATGCATTATCCCTCATGCAGGACAGACATAAGATTTTATAAACAGAACAGATTATCAATAAAAAATATAAAAAAATCAACTAAGTTATATAAGAATGTTAGTTGACTTACCAATTTTAGTTTTGTCTATATTTAATATTGACATATTCTTGTCAATATATTTTTCATATTTATTGTATAGTTGACTTTCCTTTAAACTGTAGAATACGCTGTAGGTCTCTAAAGTGTAACATAAATACATAATACAACATATTATTTTTTACTATTATTTTATTTTGCATGGTATCAATAGCAGTTTTTTTTCTGATCTTTTTTTTTGTGAGGGTTCATCGATCCCCTCTTGTGTGCTTGATTTTTTGTGCCTCTGTGTTTGAGGTGTTTTTTTTTGTACTTAAATATGCAATTCAAGATGATAGAAAACTCCATTTTATGTGCTACTGTTGGAACTACTGTGAAGTTCAATGGTAGAAATTATGCTCTTTGGTCGCAAGCGTTTCGTACATTCATTGATTCTCAAGGACGTGATAATCATCTCGTTAAAATGATGATGGACACTAAAGATTCCAAATATGCAGCATGCATGGCTTCAGTCTGATTGTGCAGTGAAAACGTACTGCTGAATTCTTTGGAACCAAATATTGTTGCCTCCGTTGGGTCGATTTCAACTGCTAAGGAGATAAGAGATTCCATTAAAGAGATGTTTTTTAATGATGGTAACGATTCTTGAATTCTCTTTGTTTGAACAAGATGTGGATAACAAACAAGGTGAAAAATCCCTTCCATAATTTTTTGCTACATATAGAGGAATTATCAACAAATTTCGTGAATTACAGCCTCTCTTTACAAATTTTTAAACTTAAAAACGTCAGTGGGAAAATCTATTTGTTTGTGGATTTCTTATGAATTTGACTGACCAATACAATACTCTTAAAGCAATTATTGTTATATTCCTTTCAGCTGGTTTTGTTTCTTCAGTTGGATTTGAGGATGTTATTCAAAATTCTAAAATGGAGTATGAACGGTTAATTCAGTCACAACCAAATTCCACTGCCTCTCATACTTTCCCAACAGGTACCGCGGCACTTGCAACTCTTTCTGATAATTACATGTGATAATCACTCGCAACTCTTTCCCAACAAGAAACAAACAGTTGTATTAAGATCTAGTGCTGAAGCGGAATATCATGTCATGGCTCAAATTACATGGGAGTGATTCTGGTTGAAAGCTCGCCTCGAAGATTCGAAATCACCTATTCAGATCCTATTCCTATACATATTGTGATAATCATGCTGCAATTCATATTTCAAGTAGTCATGTTTTTCACAAACAGACTAAATACATTGAAGTTGATTGCCATTTTCTGATAAATGCAATTACTAATAAGAAGATGTGCACTTCTTTCACACCTTCAAATTGCATATATGTTCACTAAAACAATTAAGAATGGAGATTTCCACAGATTAAGTGACAAGCTTTGTATGATAATGCTCCAGCTTGAGGGGAAGTGTTGGTTGATTTATCAATTTTAGTTTTGCTATATTTAAAATTGATAGATTATTTTCAATATACTTTCCATATTTATTGAATTGTCCATCTAAGTCAGTTGGTAGAGCACAAGGTTCTTAACTTTATAGTCGTGGGATCGAGTCCCATTGAGGGCAATTCATAAAGGAGGTATTCCACGGAAGTTGCTCTCAACCTGGCGTTGGGGGCAGCCTACTACCTTACATCCTCCTTACCCTATTATATATGGGAATATGGTCAGCTAATTTTATACTTTCCATATTTATTGTATAGTTAATTTTTCTTTTAACCGTAGAATACTTTGTATATATAGGTCTATAAAATATAACCTAAATATATAATACAACATATTATGTTCTACTATTTTAATATTTACAAAGTATTTAAAATTTTAGAACTCGTCAACTCTCTCGGTAGATCTCTGCTCAAATGCTTGTACCGAGTTTTTCCATGTGTGGCAACCATAAATCCCCTTGTTGACTTTTGGTGGTTTCGGTTTGAACATGACCCGTGGTGTCTCTCTATTAGCCATAATGCGCACAAGGGCTTGTCGCACCCTAGGCCCGCCCCTGACCCAACGAACAACGCACGGATTGACTCAACAGCTTCAAAGATTCATGCAGACCCCAAAGACCGGGTCTTGAATTTGGCAACTTTTGTTAAATTTATAGATTAAGTTAACAAAAATTGGCAAGTTCTGCTTATTGTTAAATGTTAGGCATAATATAACGAGAAAGACGAGCGTGCTATGATAATCGATGTTTGAATTAGAAAAATACCCGACCAAATTTAGACGAACATTGATTCATGCATATGCGGAAGAAAAAAAAATATAATGGCGTCAACGAAGTCGGGTGAACAGTGAGGATGTTTCATCATTTATTGAAGGGGGGACATTAATATGTGGTGGATTTATAGAATAAGTTTGCATGAGCTTTTTGGACCACATTAAGTTAAGACATAACTACTTTTAAGTGGTCCGTATTATCTATCATCTTAATTATTACTGCTCTGGCCCTCCAATTAATCATCTTTATCTTGTCTTTTTTGCAACGTCACCATGTTCTTTTTTTTTTCTGTTTAAAGATCTCGAATACGCATGTTTTTTTTAAAGAAGGTACTTTGTATTGAATCATTTACAAATTACACTATCTCATACCTCATTAAAAAATATCTCTAATTCTAAATGGAGGAAAAAGAGTATTCCTTAAGGTAGTTAGAAGCTAAGAACATCAATATAAAGTTGATCACACAAAACAAACACCGTCCCTACATCCTAACATATAGAAATTGAGATAGGGATCCATCCAATTAAACCAGCCACTACCCAACGAAACATCGATCAGAACCAAGAACAACAATCATCGAGAAAAATAACTCCTGAGGCTCGAAATGAAAACTTGGACAACAGGAATCTGCATTGGCCACAAATTATAAACCCATATTCCTATCTTCCACTCAGTACATAATCTTAACCATACTTGCCATTCACCTCAGCTTAATAGAACTTAAAACGCTATTGAAGGCTTATAAGATTGAAGTATATTGCCTAGCATAATTGGAACAACCAGATAGTTCATATAATGAAAGTGATTGATTCTCGCAAACTACTGGAATCATCAACAACGACAAAATTCCCATAATTTCCTTCAAAAACGCAAACAATGACGAATCCATTGTCAAGAACCGTTAATGCTAAACCGTGGCTGCACCAGTAGTACTAAACATGAAAAAATAATCTTGAAATGATAGCAATCCATGATCATTAAAAAGCAACAGAATCCCAACTTCCGACCATAATAAAGAGAAGCTTAACAGAATAATCAAAAACACTATCATCATCTTCCAATCAATAAAGAATCGGGGCTACGAACAAAATCTTGAATACTAGGAATCAGCGAGGGCCAAAGCGAATTAGCCCACACACCTATCTGAACCATAGCGGAATGAGAAATATGATCGACCGAGAACGACTTACATTGAAACCTGATCTTGTTTCGGCACAACCATTTATTCCAAATAATATCGAAAAAAATATGATATTCCATAGCGCCCAAAATTTCTTTTTGATATTCTGAGAATACCATACATGCAGCAAGTCTTTAATATTCGAAGGAAACACCATACTGATATTCCACACAGAGCACCAACGTTGCCAAATCTGCCACACAAACTTGCAATGCACCAGTAAATGATTAATAGATTCTGGAAACCTAGTGCAGAAAGAACAACAAGAATGATCCGAAACGGGAACTCCTCGCTTGATTAACTCGGAGATTACCGACAACCTTTGATGCACTGCTTTTAAAACAAAACCGGACACTTTTGGTGGAACGAATTTACACCATACAAATTTCTAGATTGGATCTTCCAATTTACCTGCAGTGGCCACACTAAGACAAAATGATTTGGGAGTGTACATACCATCAGCAGAGCCGACCCATTTCAATTTATCAATAGCAGGAGCTGAACTTACAGCTCTGTTTAAAACCTCTAGAAAATTTGACCAAAAGTCTATTTCGAGGCCTCTCCTAAGCTCAATCTTCCATTCCCAGACCCCATTCATCCAAATCTCAAACTCGTATATGTTCTCGGATTTTTTTTTTGCGCCAGTCCATAGATTCTAGGAAAGGATGCTTTAAGGGAAAACATTTCGGACCAACGATCATTCCAAAAGTCTATTTTATCACCATTACCCATAACGCAAATAAAATCATCTCTCACATTCCCCTCAAAGGAAATAGACGGGTTAATAATATTGCGCCAAACCCAAGAAGCATTACACGAGTTAATCTCTTTTGGAACAATTGAATCAGAACAATAATTGTACTTAGCAACTATAATTTTTTTTCAAAGACTATCACTCTCCTGACTAAAACGCAAAATCCATTTATTGAGTAAAGCTCGATTCATCGTTTTAACATCATAGATACCCAAGCCCCCATGAGATCTCGGCCCACATACATTTTTCCATTTTAACTATTGAATTTCTCTCTCCGAATTTCCTTTCCAGACAAACGAGGCTATGAATTTATTAATAGATTCTGCGACGGACTTAGGGATAAGAAATAATGTTATATATAGTAGACAAGTAAATTAAATAACACATATCTGATCAGAGTAATTCTGCCCGCAAAAGATAAGAATTTGTTTTTCCAGCTCTGTAGACGATGTTGTACCTTTTCCAACACTGGTTGCCATAGAGTATTCGAATTCTTTTTGTGACCCAACGGAAGACCTAAGTATGTAGTAGGTAGAGAATCCCATCCGCAATGCATAAAATTCGCCCAACTTCTTATCATGCTTTCGTTAACATTGATACCGAATATCTTTGATTTCTTCATATTTAATTTTAATCCCTCCGCCAACTCAAACTTTTTTAAAACACGATTGAAATTCATTAAGCTCATAACATTTGATGCCTAAAAGATCAATAGGTCATCAGCAAATTGAATGTGAAATATGTTCTGTTTCTGTACCTAACTCCGACACCATCACACAACCTATTCACCGATGCTTTCAATAACATACCACTGAGAGCCTCCCCAATAACATTAAAGAGCATTGACGATAAGGGGCAGCCCTGCCTTAGACCTCTCTTTATTGAAAAATTGTCAGACAGAAAGCCATTAACTAGAACAATAATAGATGGAGTCGAAATGCAGAATAATACCCACTTTCTCCATCTTTTTCCGAAGCCCATCTTTTTAAGAATAAGATTCAAAAAATGCCAGTCAACAGTATCATAGGCTTTACTAAAGTCAGCCTTAAAAATCACAGCTTCTTTCTTTTTCTTGGAAATGTCATCAATAACTTCGTTTGCAATCAGGATACAGTCCGCGATCTGCTTACCCGAAATAAATGCAAACTGATATTCCCCTGTAACTTCATTAAGACAACTAGCCATTCTCTTTTCCAGAACCCGATACACTATTTTATACAAACTCCCCACCAGAGAAATCGGTCTAAAATCCTCTAGATGAACCGCCTCATTCATTAACCTTCGGGATTAGGGCGATATACGATTTGTTAAAAGAATGGTCCTCAACTCTGTCCCAATAAAAATCAATCATAAACAACATTACATCTTCCTTGATAACATTCTAGAATTTTTAAAAAAAATCCAAGTTGAAGCCATCTAAGCCCGCGCTCTCGAATCGTCAGACGAATTAATAACGGACCATACCTCTTCCTCGAAAAACAGACTTTCCATCAACCTTCTCGAACCAGCACACAATCTCTTAATTGGAATGTCCCATTTCTTTACTAGAATAGTCTTCACTTCATTGAAAGAACCCCGAAAGTAAGAAACAAAGGCTTGTTGAATCTTAGCTTGCTGTTTTAAAACCAAATTCTGCACCTTCAATTTTGAAATATGGTTTCTTCTAGCTCTTGATGAAGCAGTTAAATGAAAAAACTTTGTATTCCTATCCCCTTCTTTAAACCACCTAAGTCTAGATTTTTGAAGTCACTCACATTATTCTTTCCGCAAAAGAGACCACAACCGAGCCTTCATTACAACAAGATCGAACTGGGCAGAATTAGAATTGGGATTCGAAATACACCTTTTTTTCTAACTCTTCTATTAACATCCCGATATTATCCACATAATCTATATTACTCTCATGCAAAGATCTTGCTCTTTCTTTAGTGATAACCTTTGTAAGCAAAAATGACTGCGAAATGCTTTTGCCTCTATTCGATTCCCACACATCCTTAATTATGTCCACAATAATTGAATCTTCAGCCCAATAATTAAACCATTTGAAGGGCCTCACAAGTTTTATATGTTTCTTTTCTTTTAAAACTAACGGATTATAATCTGATACACTTCTTAGTAAAGATAATTGCACCAACTCTGGATATAAGCAGGCAATTTCAGGAGAAATCAGTATCCTATCCAGTCTACTAGCAACCACAGACGACCCGTCCCTAAACCAAGTGAATAAACTGCCCAAAATTGGGACTTCAAATAACTCCCACCTAAAAATGAACTCTTCAAACATTCTCCTCGCAGTAGGTAGATTGAAGGCCCTCATTCTTTCGGAGATATACCTTACTACATTAAAGTCCCCCCCACAACAACTGGGCACTTAAAACTTGAAATTACATTACTAAGTTGCTCGAAAAAATCACTCATTTCGCTTTGATAGTTTGGCCCATAAACGTTAATAATTTCAATCTCTAAATTGTTCAAAATCAGTCTGCCTTTTAGAGCAACAATTCGCCTATACATAATGTTACTATTCACCATAAAAACATTACGGTCCCATAAAGTAATGAGACCTCCCGAGGCTCCTTCCGTAGGCGCAAAAATCAAACCCCTACCAAAACAACCCTTTAAAACACGTTCAACAAAAACAGAAATCTCACCCACTTTTGATTCCTGAAATAACACTATACTAGGCTTATTGGACTGTAAAACCCGACTAATTGCTCTTAATTTAACGTTTTTCCCCAACCCTCTAACATTTCAGCTTAAAACTGAGAAACCTGAATCCATAATATCAGAGCACACAGAAATAACATGACAAAACAATTCTCAAACCCAGATCAAAGTTTACCCGAGAGCTTATTCTGCTCCAATATGTGGATGACTACCTCTTTCGAAGCTGAGAATACAACACCCAGAGCCTCTCCAACACTAAAAGTAGCCTCCGATTCATTTTGTAAACCCTCTGAACCAGCAATGTTCTCCCTCGTAGAATTAGCTTAATCCAATGTACCCCTTCTTGCAACTTATAACATTTGTCGTCTTCTAGAACTCTTCTTTTTTCTTCTTGGAATGATAATTTTAGAACGAGTTTTAATTTTAACCCCATTCGTTCCTTTTTCAACGCTGGAAGAAATGTTTTCTTGAGATTTACGACAATCCTAGATATGCTTCGAGGATGATGAAACCGTTATCACCCTACGAGAATATGATATAGGGCCCTCGCCCTCTATCCTAATTGAATACACCTCATCAATGGGGATATCCAAGAGCCTAGAGTTGTTTGAAACAGACTGTGTCTCCCAAACTTGCCCAACATCTTTATTTAGTTCCATAAACCCGACACTATCATCCGCGAACAGATCCTTAGGCACATCATTAGCAAAAATCGAAACATCATGTAAGGCCTCATCCACAACAACCCTCGTTTCCACCTCAGCATCCACGAATCCCCTACTGACTTCCATCAGTTCGTTGACATTATCGCTCCTCTGACAGAGCGAAGCAGCCAAATTAAATGCGTCATTGGAACCAAAACTTGCAGCATGGTCTTCTTCTATCAACTGATCCTTACTCGCTACCACAACATCTGGGCACCACGCACCACTACCAAGCATCAAGCCATCTATGAACATTCGACTCTCTTCCTGAGCTTCTTTTGTGATTTTAATGGAATATAGTCTTCCATTACAGACAATGGAAACTTTTTCTGGGATATCCGAAGAGTACTGAACTTCCAATAAAATCCTAGCTATATCAAACCTTGAACGATTGCAAGTATCTTCTTCTATCAACAACACTTTACCCCACAAACTTCCTAGCTCCATAAAGAATCTTTCACTCCGCACTAATAATGGAACATCCAACAAAAGAATCCAGGTTTTAACTCTAAGTTTGTTCTCATAACCCTCCAACAATTCTAACTCGTCAAACCAGCGAGAAACCCAATCCTCTCTCTTTAACCAACATACCGGTCGAGCAGATTCATATTTGAACTGTATGACCACCAGTAATTCATGCCAGATACTTACCTTCATGTCGAACCCTTCTGCACTGAGAGCAGTCTGAACAATATCTTCATTATACATATTTTTTATTTTTCCCACCAAACAAGAGTGTCTCCACGAGACCTCCTTCTCTGCAATACGAATAGTCTTATTATCCTCACCGTTTTTTGTAGCTTTCCTCGCAGCTTGATCATCATCAATCATAACATAGATCACAACATAGATCACATTATCCTTACCTGATAATATAGAACACCGTTTCAATTGTGATATTTTATTTGAACTTATAAATATTTTAATAGAAAAAAATAAATTTTAAATAAATATTTGATTAATTAGGTTTTATAAAATATTGATTAAAAGATTTTAACATTTGGTAAAAAAAATTAGATAAAGTTATGGCTATGGAAATGTAGTGCTAGTACTAATAACCAAATCTACAAACTGTAGAGGATTAGATAAAATCATGGCAGGGTTAATCTTTATTCATCACTAACAGTGATTTGTTTAAAATAGAAATATATAAAAATAAAATGTCAAATCAAATAATGACTAAACCTAAGATTACCTTGGAAGCTAAGTTAAACATCTCAGCCGCAGGAACTCAGCCAAACATCAACACAAAAGGTAAAAGACTTATTATAAAAAAGAGTGTCTAAACTATTCTCATTTAGCTCTCTAATTTTTTTTATTAATTTAAGTACATAACATTTCTAATATTATTTTTTAGGTGTATGAACTGTGAAATACGATAAAAAAAATTGTCAACCACTTAGAATACGATAAGTGGTGCCTTTAGAAATTTTTGTAATTTTTATTTAAAAAACTTAAAATTATTATTATTTTTTAAAATACCCCAAAATATTCCTAAAATATCAAAAAAATCTTTAATCTTAAGCTAAACGTTAGGTACGATTTAAAAAAAATAAAATTTATATACCAAAATAAATTAAAAGTAATAACTTAAATATTAAACGTGTAATTTAACCTAATTATTATATTTGGTGAAAGTTATTAATATCATTATCATCCAAGCCAGTTTGGCCCTATTTCAAAGCAAAAGGGATATTTATCCATACCTTATTTATTGAAATCCCAAACTTTGTTGTACCACTCTATATCTCCACCCAACATGCATGTTGGTCCATATCCTATTATATCTGCCCTTCCTGTGATATAAAGCTTTCACAAAAACAGTATTATTTTTCTGAGGTTTCATATAAAATATATTTTAATTTTTATAATTAAAAAATATCAACTTATTCTTATTAAGTTTAAAGAAAATATCATATATACATATATGAATTTATGACGGTGTTTCAGTTAAAAAATTCAAACATTTATATGTAAATGTAATCTATAGGCTAGTAGACATTGTCATTGAATTAAACCTATACATTTAATTTAAAAAATATAATACTAGCTTTGAACCTAGACCTGGGTTGCCTAATGAAAAGGGAATCCGAAGTCCATAAAGAGTTGGAAAAAGATAAGAAAAGATCACCGGATTTAGCTATTGACAAAATTGGTGTTGAACTGATGGACTCAGCACAACACATAGCATCAGCAGCTCGTTCTTCATCCAATGAGTGAAGAAGCATAAACAGCCCCACAGTTTCGAAGTTGTTATTTTCTTTCCCCAGAAGATGGGGGGAAAGGGGAGAGGAGGGAACTTGATGGTGGGGAAAAGAGCAGGGCCCTCTACTCCATCAACTGCTTGGCCACATTTCCACTCGTCTTCTCAAAATCCTACTCATTTGGTTTCTGCCAGAAAACTCTGTGCCCACTTTTGGCGACTTCAACCGCCTCATTACTCGGTTTCCAATATGCCTCCCAAGCTTCGTCTTCAACGTTTTAAAGATAAGGCTTTTGATGCTGATGTTGATCATCCCCTTCATCAGGTTGGGACTCACTTTCTTTCTTCATTGGTAAACACCCAAAAAAACAACACAGTGCTCGTTTTAAAGTTTCAAGTTTTTTTTTAATGAAATTTCAGCTCTGTATATATATTTTGCCTTCTTTGCAGGTGGCACCTTATAAGCCTGCAAGCACACCTTCTAATTCTTTGGGATTTAAAGAAACGCTCGAGGGATCTTCAGGTTATAAGGTTAAGGCATCAATGGAGTTGCTGAAGGTGCTCAAACGAATCTGGGCTCTCGAAGATCAGCACGTATCGAACGTGTCGTCGGTAAAGGCTCTGAAAATGGAACTCGACTTTTCTCTGGCTCGGATCCAAGAGTTGCAGTTCACGAGGCACAAGGAGCAAGGTAGAATCAAAGTTGTCATTCAGTCACTGAGAGACAAGCTAGAAAATGAGGGAAAGTTACGGAAGAACTCCGAGATATCGCGCCGAAAGCTAGCTCGAGAACTCTCCGAGGTGAATTCTTGTTTCGTCGACGCATTGAAAGAACTCGAGAGAGAAAGAAAAGCACGTATTCTACTGGAGAATCTGTGTGATGAATTTGCTAGAGGTGTTCAATGCCTAAAGCACAAGCATGTGGTTGATGATGGGGGAAAACCTGGGCGACTAATTCTCCATATTTCAGAGGCATGGCTCGATGACCGCACGCAAATGAAGCCTGCAGGAATGAATTCGATTGTCGACAAGTTAAGCCTCGACATACATACTCTTCTCGATGCAAAATGTGAAGAAGATTCAAGTGGTGACGAACAACGTGATGAACTTAACGAAACTGTAAAGGCGAGGTCTCAGGGTGATGGCAAGGGAAGTAAAGTGATTCGATCTGTATATCAAGGTCGTGGTAGTTTGGTTCAACGATGGGTATCGAAGTTGAAATCCGGAGATTTCGAAACATCTACTTATTCTCAGAAATTGCGAAAAGAATCCATTCAAGGCAAGATTACCAGAAGCAAGACTAGAAGGCCAACAATAGTTTAATAGACTGTACATTAAAATTTTAGGAGCATCGATAACACCATTCACTGTTTTCTAATATGAACAAATGTTTCTAGAATTGCTACGATTTGATAATATGCCAAAGAAACGAAATGGTTTGCGCTTTTTTTTCTTCTTTTATATATCTAAATTGGTTGTAAATAATCAGAATATTATATGAATTGATAGTGAACCGTTTGTATAATGTTCGTTTATTAAATTAAATGAGTATAAACAAAATTTTTATATTTATTTAATAAACGTAAGAACAAAAATATAGGTGTGTTTGATTAGTTTATGTTCATGAACAAATTTATTTGTTAACTCATTTATTCAATTTTCGTGTCCCTTTTGTTTTTTACATTTTAAATATTGATCAACGTAAAGACTACACTGAATATAAGATGAACTTTGAAGTTCACAATGTGAAGTTTAAGGAACTTAAGAACTAATGGTGTAATTCCACTATTTTTTTTGACTTGCAAATAAAAGGATAAAAATAAAATATTAGTTGTTGAACATTAAGAGAACATTAAATGAACATGTTTGCGAACGTTAAACGAACATATTTAGGACACTAAACGAACGAACACGAACATCTTCAAAAATAAATAAATGAATATGAATATAATACTGAAGATTTAAACGAACACAAATTGTACATGAATACTTTCAAAAAGAAAAATAAACACGATTATATCTTTATCCGTTTAAACTTGATTCATTTCCACTTAGTCCGGCAGACTATTTTATTTCCCTTACCTGGGCCGAGGCTCATTAAATCACTTGTTCAAACACCCTAATAGAACTCAGACCCAAAATATTTAAATTTGAGTCGAAACTCAAAACTAATAACCCGTTCAATCAACTGGGCCTGAGCCATTCATTATTATTTGTCACTAATATATTTTTGTGTTTCATATTTATAAAATGAGTAAACTATGTGATAATCTCTTTTGTTTTCGGTCTGATCGATTTTGGTTATCAATTTAAAAATTAAGGGTTTATGATCCCTAACGTTACCGATCCATTCGATTTTAATCTCTAACGTTACTAATCCGTTTGATTTTAGTCTCTCAATCATTAACTCCCGTTTGATTTTAGACCCTCAACTATATCACATATTCGTTAAGGGTTAACGGCGGAAGGACTTAAACTAGACGGATCGAAAATGTTAGGGACATTACTCTTAATTTTTAAATTAGTGACTAAAGTCGGACATACCCTAAACAAAATGGACTATTCACATAGTTTACCCTTATAAAAGAGAATGCATTTCAAAAAAAAACATTTTTATTAAAAGAATATAATTTTATTTTGCTACGACAATTGAAGAGGCATTGTCCAAAGTAGGTTGAAGATAATTAAAGAGGTACTGTTCAAAATAATAAAATTATGATTTTTTAACTATAAAATGGTTGTCATTTGTTCCCGTATATAATGGGGTAAAAGGATCTTTTTAACTATTCTTATTAAATGAAGAAGTATTATATTCTCAAAATAAATATTAAGGTAAATATCGAAAATAATTATTTTTTAATTATATTGTGATCCGTGCTAATTCTACAACAATTATAATTCTTTTGACTTATTTACTTAAGCAAAAGAATTCCAAACGCAATAATATAGCAGTATATTGGTTAACCTTGTTCGGCAAGCAAATTATTGAATATAATTTAAAAATAATATAGTTGGCAAATTACGTGACTGACTCCTCTATTATAAATACAAACAAATATCGGTATTCTAATTTCTATTCATCGAGAAGCAAGAACAAAAGTAAAACAAATTCTCTTCATATTCAAATTAAAAAAACGGGAGTTAGGGTGTTTTCTCATCACAAGAAGAGAGACCTGCAATCGTTGCGAAGAACCGAAGATGCCGAAGAACAAGGGAAAGGGAGGAAAGAACCGAAAGAAGGGAAAGAACGAGGCCGATGACGAAAAACGCGAGCTTATTTTCAAAGAAGATGGACAAGAATACGCCCAAGTCAGCCGCATGTTGGGAAACGGCCGATGCGAAGCTCTGTGCATCGACGGCACCAAGCGTCTCTGCCATATCCGCGGTAAAATGCACAAGAAGGTCTGGATCGCCGCCGGCGACATCATCCTCGTCGGTCTTAGGGACTACCAGGACGACAAGGCTGACGTCATCTTGAAATACTCAAGGCTTATGGAGAGCTACCGGAGAATACGAGGTTGAATGGAGGGATTGCTGGCGGCATCGATGAGGAAGATGATGGTGCCGGTGATGATTACATCGAGTTCGAGGACGAGGACATTGATAAGATCTAGAGTTCTTTTTATTGTCAATTTTAAATTTATTTTAAGACGCGATGACTGTATTTGGCATATTTTTATGGTTTATTATGCACTATGGATGCTGGATTTGTGTTATAACAAGTGGGTTTACCTTTAAATATGATGTGTTTTAAGATTATGTTGATTTTAATATCACAATTTAGAATATTTTGATTTATGAGGAAAGCATGTCGATGATGAAATCTTCTTTTGGTTAAATGCTTTGATGTTATCTTCTTCTTCTTAGAATTAGTTAAGATTTTGATTATGTGATCTCATGCCATTTTTCCATTAGGCGTTTCAATTTGATTGGAGGGTGGCTATGGTTTCTGAGTTTTGTGGGTCTTGGTGTTGATTCTTTTCAGTTTCAGTGTTCATATGATTCCTTATCACGGTGTTAAATTTTTAGAATAGAGAATCCAGGAAGTCCTGATTTGGATGTTTAGTTTGATGCTCCTGTTTTTAACCTCAATTTCATCATTGTGGTAGATTCTGATTGTTATATGAAGAATATCGGTTTCTGTTGCCATCCTTGATATGACTGCAGAAATGAAGCATTGCTTTTATTGGAAGGCCTTTAATCACCATGGTTCGACTGTAACCAAGATGATGATGACGATTTCATGTGTTAATAATAGTGTATGTTGCCTGGTTTAAGGGGGTCTAATCAAGAAGCTTTTTCAGGCTTGAGATTGTTGCTAGAGGAATTTGTTGGTAAAGGGAATATATTTGGTTCAATGTACATTTTAATGGCATAAATGGGCTACTCTCTCTGTGCATTAAACATGGCATATATAGGGTAGGAAATTATAGGCATACACATAAAATTGACAAACTTTATTCCAGGCCCAGGGCAAATATAATAAGGTTACAAGAATTCATACAAGGAAATTTCACAATTACATGAATACAGTTGTCTCTCTTACAGGGTGCAAAGATGCCAATGGGCATATGCCATTGCCAATCTATTCAGTTCCAGCAATCTTCTTTTTCAGTTCCTCAATATCGGTAGCTAGTTCTTTCCTGCTTGACTGAAGAAATATAAGATTTTAGCAAATAGTTTCACTGTCCACATATATGATCATTCTTATTCTGTATAGTCTGAAAACTGATAAGCTGTTAATTGTAAATTATGCTACTCTTCTAAGTTGAATACCACCTCCAATATAAGCTAAATTTAAGATTTCGAACTGAGAATTTGTAACTCTCAAAGGTTGGTCCAAAACCACCAAGAAAACATCATTATCTCTTCATGCACATGTTAATCTCCATTTAGGGTTTTGTTAGTTCTCTATGTGAAAGCAAATTTAAGACTTTGCGAGTGTTTGCATGACCATGAATGCAGAATGGCCAACACCTTGGATTATCCACAATTAAGATTCATGGGAATACATATGTTTTTTCATATATATAGAATTATTCTTACCTTGAAGAGAATGTATCTATAGACAAACCATCCTGTATATCCTAGTCCAACCAATTCCATTACCTTTGGGAGCTGATAACCAGAGAAACACATAGATTTCAAATTGGATTAGCAGTTTAGTGAAGGGTATGAAACAAGAAAGAGTGTAGCATTAAGACTCAACTTACCAAAGGGACCGAGTTAATTGCACCAACAAGAATCGATGATAGCCAAACAGCAACTATTGCCCCGCCACCATAAATAATAACTGTGGACTTGTTCTCAACTTTATCCCACTGGCAAACCACCAAAAGGAAAAGGCCAAGTCAGTACTAATTTAAGCTTAAGCAGGTTAAAAGAGCAAGAAATTGATTGCTAGGAAAATATAATGACTGGAATTGTTTAATAGTACTACATTCAGGTAAGACCATCTTTTCTCACCTTTTCTTTCAAGTCAGCGAAAAGCTCCCCAGCATCAACAGAGGTCTCCTCCGTGGCTTTTGTCTGGAGCAAAGGAAACCTCCTGGATTCTGTTTTTGAAACAAGAGAGTAAACAAGACTAATAGATGCAAGGGGAAAATACTTGAACTGGCCTCCATCACCAATTATCCTCCACAATTAGCTTCCTACAACAACTCTTTAACACTTGTGATTATCACCAATACAACATTTCTAATCCTACATCGCCTACTACGATTTCGCTTAAATGAGGGGACGGGGTAGTCGGTTCCAAGTATAGTGCTAGGAAGAACATAGTATAAAAGTCAACTCTCAACTTATTTCACATTTAAGCTTTCGTTATCTTTAGATAGAATCAAACAAAAAGGAAGAGCACGCATGCAAGTCTCGCAAGTGGGCGTTGATGTTAACAGAAGTACCTGGAGTCAGCTTAACGGACGAGGAAAAGGGAGCGGCGGAAACGCGAGGAGGGAGGAGCCGCAAGGTAGAACAACGAGTGGTTGTAACGACCGCGGGGGCACGTGGAATCAAAACGGCTGTGGCCGCCATGGAAGATGATGATGCTGCCGCCATTTTTGTCAAAAATAAACTATCGTTGTTTTCAGGTAAGCGGGCGGTTGACCGCTACAAATCCTATCCTTTGCCGCCTTCTTTTTCGGTTTTCCTATTTGCTGCATTTACCTAAAACAAAGCGTTAGTGATGAGTGAGGTGTTGAGTGAAGGACACGTGGATAAATTTATAATTGAGGATTATGATTGGTTGGTTGCCTATCTACCTGAAATCTCTTTTGTATTCGCAAGTCTTGTGTCTATTGCCAAATGGGCTTACTAATAGGCTGCTCGCTCGTATGTTTTGGACCACTGAATCATGACCCATTGGAATGTTCATGTTCAACTTCGGCTTCAGTTGTCTATGAATGTTGCATTTCTAATATTCAAAGGTCCATAATGACACAATCTTTTCCTCTTAGCGCGTGTTTTGATAAGGCTAAATGCTCACAGGGACTTACATTTTTAGGGATTTTTATTTAATTTCCACAAGTTCAATGACTGATTATTTTTGTGCAATTACAAAATTAGCCAACACATTGTTTTCAAATAAATCAATGTTGATTAAATACGGAGATTGCTTTAAAGGTACTTCACGTGTGAACGCGATCGGAATTCACGCCGTTGCTTTCGGGAAAAAAGCGGCGGCCTGGGTTATTTTCGACAATGCCCATTTTTACAAAACAATTTTAATATTTTGCATTACATTGTTGACCAATCTTTATTTTTTTCAAAATAATAGCTTCTGGTACACGTCACCTGGGTCCCAACAACTTTGATGAATAAACCATGTAAATGGACGACACGTCACCTTGTCGGCAACGATGTCCCATTATTCTTTTGTCTGTTAAGAGGTGTTGATAAGCCCACTCCGGAAGAAGGTTCTAAATTTTAAAAATCTTTTTTAAGATTTTCATTACCAAAATATTAACAAGTCAGGTTAAACTAAATGGATTCAAGTTGAGGTTAATCCTTTTATTCTTTACACGTTTAAAATTTAATTCTTTTACTTTTATTACCAATAATTCACCACCTTAACCTATTATTTTAATAATTTAAATCTAGATTATACTATTATAAAAGAATTTTTAATTTCATAGAGTGATATATAATTAATTAGATAAAAATCACTTAACATATAAATACTTATAATATAATATTATTTAAATCAGTGTCACAAATTAATTGAGAAATAATTTAATTGAGCGATTACTATTATATTTTTAAATAATTATTATATTATAATGAAAGTGTTCAAAGGCGAAATCAATTTTTCTTATAGTAGATTGAGATTAAATTACAATTTTGAGGGAAAATCAAATTTATTATTAGGAAAAACACTTTTGTCAAACTAGGGAAAAGATAAATTTTATTGTTATTAATTAAATTCCCTTAACTTTAGGGATTAAATACACAATTTTACCGAACAAGGGGGTCAAGGCCTCATACAGTTCCTGAAGATATTTGTGTACTTTTTATATAATATTTAAATATACTAATTAAAAAATATTATATAAAAATAGAATACAAAAAAATATCAAATTTCCTCCTAATTCAAGGTAATTTTGTTATACGCTAGTTTAATTTAAGGTTGATTTAAGAGAAAAATATTATATTTTTCAACTTAAAAATTTATAAATTTATAACATTTTCAGTTACAATAAAAAATTATGTTGTTGGATTTTATAGCTTACATTAAAAAATGTTATGAAAAATGAAACATTTTTAATTATAACTAAAGTTGTTATTTTATTCAACCTACAAAATTACTATATTAATAATTTATTTAGGTTTAATACAAAAATAAATGTATAAATTTTGCCTCGAAAAATATTTTAGTGCTTAAATAAATTTTCGTTAAAAATAAGTGTTTAATGTTTTTATCGAAGATTTTTAGATACATAGATCGTAACGGTCGTTAAATAACATGTGTCATATTATTTTAATTTTGAGAATTTATTTAAAAATATTTTTATTTAAAAAAAATCTCAGCCTCGCGTCTCCCCCTTCCCCTTCACCTTTCCTTTTCCCTTTTCCCCTTTCCCTTTTCCCTTTTCCCTTTTCGTTTCCCTTACATGGTCATTGGTCGGCCATCCGTGACCGTCACCGCCACCTTCATCGACTCGGGCGTTGACTCCCAAACGAATCCCCTTTTGTCTTTCGTCTTAAAGTGTCACAATTTGTCGTAGAGAAGTGTTCAAAGGTTCATCGGACTTAAGCTACTGTCACTATTTTTTGTCGATTCCGGTCGATTCCGACATCCATAAGCCACACCACCACTACCCTTCGAACCACTATGCAATTCTGATAAAAACTCAAGTGTTCCATGAGATATTTGAGTTTTTTAGAGTTTTTTTTTTATAATTTCATTAAAAGTTTGAGTTTTTATAAATAAATTAACTTTTTAATAATATTTTTATTACTAAAAATTATAACGATAGACACCTAAAATATAATCGATAAAAAATTAAGCACCTATTTTTAGAAAAAAACTCTTTAGGTATCAAAACGTTTTTCGAGTCATTGTTTAGTCACTTATTTTTGTATTAAGTCATTTTTTTATTATAATTGATTTCTAGTGCTATTTTTTAATCTTATATAAATAAGTTACTCCATGCGTATCATAATTTGTGTATTATATTGAATATGCATGTAGTTTTAAGAAATATATTTGATATGTAATAATAAAATTATTTTTAAAAAGTGATTGATTTATTTAATATATTATTTTGAAATGTATAAAAGAATGATACATTAAAAATAAAAAATAAAATTTTATTTGTTGATTTTTTAATATAATATTTTGAATAAGATTATTTTAAAAATTAAAATATACATACTTAATGGGCAAAACTTTCGAGATAATGTTCTGAAATAAATTAATTCACGAGCTAATGCATTCCCAAGATTAATTGCTCAAATAGGGTAAAATTCACAGTGTTGGCTGTAGGTCATCATGCACTCCGAGCGACCTACCCTTGCTCAAACAGAGAGAATGAACGTGTTGCATGGCACATGCACGTCCCAACACATAGGTTGCCATGCCTTCTGGGCGACCTTGTAGGTCGCCATGCACTCCGGGCGACCTACCCTCGCTCGGCTTCCCTCGCATAGCTCGCTCGGTTGCCCTCGGATGCCCTCGCATAGCTCGTTCGAATGACCTCGATCGGATGGCCTCGGATGCCCAACGTGTTGGGACGTACATGGCACATGCAATCTCTTGTAGCTCGCCGGGAAGACATGGCGACCTAGTAGGTCGCCCGAAATGCATGGCGACCTACGGCCAATACTGTGGATTTCACCTTATTTAAATAATTAATCATGAGAGTGTTTTATCTCGTGAATTAATTTTTTCCAGAATATTATCTCGAAAGTTTTATCTACTTAATGAGACACATACATATATTTTAGAATCTTGCTAAATTAGAAAGAAAAAGAGAGATCTCGGCCAAAACCGAGTCAGATCGATCGAATCACATGTCTCTTTCTGAGCTAGACCGTGAAATACGCATCATCGTTGATATAGCCAACTACTCAACATCCCATGTTTATCTCTTACGTGGCTTTTCTGACGCTTCCATCACACCCCACTAATCCCAGTCACATGCGCCTTTCTTATAATACAAATATAATATATAACATTATCACACACAAAAATCTTTAAATTAATAATAATTTTATTAAAGATATTAATAAAATATTTTAATTAGGTCAGATCTAGACCGAAAATTTTAAAAAACCGGGTATCCAACCCTACTCAATTAGATAATCTACTTTTAATTATATCGATCAAATAAGCAAAAATCAGTTTGAAAACCGTTAATACGATAGCGGAACTCCAAGATATATACTTTAATTAGCAGCCTCCACAAGCCATTAGCAAAATTATATGATAAGATTTATTTTATAAATTAGCGGTTAGTATTTTCTATGCAGCTAGTTTAAACCATCGCACGTGTTTAAATTAATTAATAAAATATTTTATCACATTAACATTATGCATGAGAAAAATATTTCGTTAAAAATATCATTTTAAAAATTAAAGTAATAATTATTATTAATTGAGTGGTAAATTTATATATTAAACTTTAATTATATCATTTTAAAAATGTATAAAAATATCTAAAGGTATAGTGTATAGAGAGTGTATCAAACAAGAATGCTTAAATTACTAATTTATTGTTTCAAATTTTTTAATGGTTCTAATTGATGAAGGCGGGTTTAAGAGGGAGAGTAATTAGAGGAGAGGGGGAAGCGATCCTCCCACGTGGAGATATGGCAATGACACGAATCGAATAAAATAGTTCGGTTCGGTTTGGCTTTAAACGGTTTGATTTTCGGTTCGGTTTAAAGGTTTTATTTTTTTTATTCGGTTCGGTTCGGGTTTTTCATATTGAACCCATTTGTTTCATATTGAACCGAATAGGCAATTTTTGTAAAAAAAAAATTATAGTTTCAAGTGATTTTTTTATTGAAAAACCGATAAACCGAACCGAACCGAACCGAAAAACCCAAACCGTTAAAAAACCGAACCGAACCGAAAAAATCAATTTCGATTTTTTCGATTTTTTAACTATTCGGTCTCGGTTTCGATTTAAATATTGAAAACCCATTTATTCCGATTCGATTTAATTTTTGATAAAAAATCGAACTAAACCGAACATAATACACCCCTACTGACAGGCCTTGTTGGCATTGCGATATTTTATCTCTTCCTCGCAACGTGGATTACTTTTATCCCTCCGATTCACAAAATTCGACTGTCGATTCCCTTTACGTCGGAGATAGGGCCGATGGTTGAAAAATAAGGGAAAACTATTTTATTTAGTCAACCACCTATTACTTATTTTATGTTTTGATCATCTGTTATTATTTAAAAAAATTATAATTAATAATTCATTTTAATTCTATTATGGTATTTTATTTATACGGTTAAAAAATTAACAATGATATTGATATAATATTTTTTTTAATATTTTTTAATATTAATATGATATTATCACATGATCATACGTCAATATCATCGTTAAAATTTTAACGATAGACGAAAAATAAAATAAAAATGTAATATTAGTATGATTTTAAAAAAAATATTTAGAAGGACGAAATAAAAACTAAGTAATAGA